GCTGCAGACAATATTCCACATCTTCAGCAATGAACTCATGGAAGAGAGCACAGCAGGGCTGAAATGGAAAAGCCAGGCATGAGAAAGAGCACAAGAGAGATGGAGGGGGTTGGGGAGCAAAGTTAAGGATCTAGATATCACGAAAGGAACAGTAAACACTTCCTGCATTGCTCCCTACAGAAACAGAGTTTCACACACTATATTTTGCTATAGTTTTACTGTAGAAATGAGGAAACAGAGACTTTTACTTTTTTTTTGCTAAATCCATGTGTAACATAAAACAATACATAAACACAATAAAAAAGCAATGCAATGTGATGCACCATACAGGGACTTTTGGAAGGTGCTCTTTAATTAAACTGTAAATTATATAAATTATACTTTATATAAACTATATGGTAATTCTTTTTAGGTCCAAAAACTAACCTTTTTATACAGTAAACAGTGTTTTCTGTAGCACATTTTCGTTATTTTTGATTTTCACTATTAATTATATAAATTATACGTTATATAAATTCTATGGTATTTTATTATTATTATTTTTTTTTTTACAATATTTTACAGTAAAAGTACATGCATCCTTTCCATTAAATCTAAATCCGAAATAATTGTCCACCAAAGTAACTTACAACTAACCAATAAACATTGTTTATTGCAGCATTTTTGCATTACTGACTTTCCCAACTTTTTCTTGAGTGCATTGAACAAACAACTCCCTGATCGCTTCCATACAAAAACAAAAGTGATAAAACAGAGAGAAAGAGCGAGTGTGCGCTTGTATCCAGGCTACAAAGGAAGTAAACTGCAAAACAAGGCAGTGAGCAGCAATTCAGACCTTTTTCGAAAGGTTTGCCCTCATGAGTTTCACATGACTCCACTTTACCCTGCTCCTCTTTTTGTCTCTGGCTTTCTTTCACTACACAAAGCGGACTTGAGCGTTATCTAGTTATCTCTCGCACTCAAAATTGCTGTACAGTTATACAGTTAGCTGTGACCTTTCTTGCTCAGTGCATTGCTCTCTCTCTCTCTCTCTCTCTCTCCGTCTATCTCTTTTCTCCCTCTCCCTCCTTCTTCTCTCCGGCACACAGGGTGAGCAACAATTCAGACCTTTTTCGAAAGGTTTGCCCTCATGAGTTTCACATGACTCCACTTTACCCTGCTCCTCTTTTTGTCTCTCGCTTTCTTTCACTACACAAAGCGGACTTGAGCGTTATCTAGTTATCTCTCGCACTCAAAATTGCTGTACAGTTATACAGTTAGCTGTGACCTTTCTTGCTCAGTGCATTGCTCTCTCTCTCTCTCTCTCTCTCTCCGTCTATCTCTTTTCTCCCTCTCCCTCCTTCTTCTCTCCGGCACACAGGCTCCCTGTGTGTTCTGGACTGAATGGCATGCAAATGGAGTGGGTGTTTGGGAGGCCTTTCATCCGGCCCTGAGAGAGTGAGTAAGAGAGAGAGAGAAGAAGAAAAAAGAAAAAGAGACAGTCATCTTTTATCCATTTGAGTGAGAACAGTTGTCCCAGCAGTTAGGCGATGAGAAAAAGCAGGGTGGAGGTTGCCCTGTAGAGTTTGACATCTGGCGGACACGCAGTGTTCATTCAAGTCGCAGGCTCATTTGCCCCTGTGAACAGCAGGGACAAAGCAGCCCACTCACAACACCGTGAATACAGTAAAACCTTCATTTAATGAATAAAAACTGATGAGAGTGCACAAAAAAGCCTGTATAATACAGTACGTGCAACCTCAGGCCAGGCTTAAAGGGATAAAACTGGTCCTTTAAAACAGAGTTGCTAGTTTTGTAATTACTGACTTGTGCCGTGTGGTGGATATGTTTGCGGTTTCACAAACTAGAACCTCCTGAAAGCGCCTGAGGCCTTAAGTAAATTATTCCCCCGCTGTGTCTTGTGACTTGATCCATATCTGATTTGGGCTCCTCGAAGAACAAAGGAAAGGGGAAGTTTTTCATCAGGACATGTGCAGTTCCCTCTTCTGGGAAGATATCAACTTCACAGGAGCCATTCGTTTGACCAATAATACATTTGAAATTGAAGTGTAAATACTTTAGGGGATTGCAACGGTGTAGGGACTTGCAAAGGGACTGGTGACTGAGATGTTTGTGTAAAGCAGTCATTGCCTCTCTCACACACACACACACACACACACACACACACACACACAGGCCCAGCGTGTCAGAGGCCCAGGCTGGAGACGTCAGCACTGGCTGAGACATCTGGAATGGCATCCTTCCTTAAGTAAACAGCATTGTGTTCTTGCTTCAAAACACCAGAGTCAGTGCATTTCAAGTGTAAAGCACTGCATAAAACATTTTTATATAAATAAATAAAATAAATCAATTAATAATACTTTTTTTGAATCAGAACAGACTTTTATGTGAACTTTAAATTTCATGCATTTTCTAAGCCTGAAAAACAAATCTATAAACTTGTATATATAAAAAAACTAATATATAAACAAAGTAAAACGGTAAACCAGTGGTTCTCAACCATGGGTCTGAGGTCCACTATGGGGCCTCGAGTTCATGTAAAGTGATTTAAAATAAGAGAAAGCAAAAACAATAACAGAAGCTTTAAAAAAAAGGACCTACAAACAAACAAGATATTTCTGACTGTATGTTATATCACCCCCTCAACAACTGTTGGTTTCCTTTGAAGAAACAGGGTTTCCACAGTGTTGGATAACCTGTACATATGAGGAAGCCTAAAAAGTTTGGAAAAGTTATATAAAATAATAAAATTGTATAATTCCATGAACATTTAATACATTTTATAAATATCAATTTTTCTAGAATATTTTATTAGATAGAAATGTTTAGTAACACCATTTGTTTAAATCCTTATCCAGTAATTCACGAACAACTGGAAAAGTCATGGGTCTTTTGAATATTGTTGTGGACAATGAAGAGCCCAAAAGGATGAGAACCACTGCTGTAAACAGACTACAAGAGAAACAGGGGAAAAACAAGTTATCTGCTGCCCTCTGCTGTTAATAATCACTTACTGCAGCTGCACACAACACACAGGCCACGGATGGAATACTAGGAATAATGCAGTAGATGCATACAGTTTATGATCATTTAAAATGGCTTGAAAAACAAACACTGGACATTTTACATTATTAATCCAATTTTGTGCATTGGCAATAGGGATAGTAAAGTGTCCATTAAGAGCATACCTGCACACTCTTACCTTCTACATATTTGACATACTTCTTTTTAGAAACTATGTAGTAGGCCAATTCAGTTACTCAGTGTCCACAATTGAATGCTTCTTGCAATGATTTTATCTCAACAATAAAACCATTTGTTATATCAGTGCAGATACATACATTATAAAGGAGTAATACAATTTTTTACCCCCACTGCCAGCAAAAAATATCATTTATTCAAATTAAACTGGCACTAGCACATTCCCACTGCTTTCCCTTTTCCTTTTCATTCCAATTTCCTTCCCTTTCCCTCTTCTTTTTCCTTTCTATTCCTTTTCCCCTTTTCTTCCTTAATCATTTCCTCTCCCTTACCTTTTTCCTCGTCATTTTATTTTCCCATTTCCTCTTCTTGTTCCTCTTTTTCCCCTTTCCCATTTCCTCTTCATCCCTTTCATATTTTCCTCTTCTCCTTTCCTTTCCCTTTCCTTCAATATTGACTCTTTTTGGTCCTCTTCTCTTCCCTTTTCTGTTGTTCCCTCTTCCCTTCCAAATCTCTTCTCCTCTTTTTTCTTTTCTCATTTCTTCTGCCATTCTTTTTTCTTTCTCCCTTCCTTTTCAAATGTCTTTTCCTCTTTCTCATCTCTCTTCCTTATTTCCTTCTCATTTCCTCCCTTCCCTTACATTCCCTCCCTAATGTACCTCAGACACGGCATATATAAGGTTTTGTTAATAATTTTGTGTCAAAAAGCACAATCTCTTTTTATAGTCTGATGCAACAAACTATTTCATCACATATTCACACAGTTGTATGATAATCTAGTATTAGCAACACACTCTCGCACAGCTCATCTTTCAAACTCCGATGAAGTGATGTGCATTACCTGGGATGAGATGCGGCAGATACTGTACGCTTTATGTTCTGACATGGTTGATTATACATGCTTTATTATGCATGTATGCGTGTGCACCTGTCAGCATTTTGTAGTTTTCCAGCAGGTGAGATGTGTTAAAATGCTTTTTCAGTGGTCAGCATTGATCCCATCTGGTCAATATGAAGTTACAAGCTGGTACTGGAAGTATTTAGAGGAAAGATAAAACAAGAGGGGAAAAAAAAATCACATATGGGAATCATCCCTTGGATGTTATGTGAATGTGTGAATGAATGTGTGTTTTAGATCAAACCACCAGAGGTTCCTGTCAAAATTTGTTTGATGGATTTTTACTGGGTTATCCAATGAATTTTACACACAGCTGTCCATCATTCGTCATTTTGAGAGACAGCTAATAGAGAAGGATTCTGACCAATCAGCAGTCAGCTTGGTAACATTTAAAGAGACAGTTTACCCCAAAATGACAATTCTGTCAACATTTGTTCACCCTCTTTTGTTCCAATCCCATTTCTACCAATTTCTTTCTTTTGAGGAATAAAAACAAATTTTGATTTTTTTTTTAACATAATACAAGTCGATGGATGTGGACCGAAGATTTCAAGCCATAAAAAAGACCCTAAAAGATTAAAATTTCAGTCTGTTTCTAACAAAGTTATCATATGGCTTTAGAAGACTTATAGTGATGAGTTACAAGAAGTACTTTTATGATTTTGAAGAATTTCTTTTTTTTTTTTAGGTGAAGTATGCCTTTACATTTTTTATTATATTCCTTACTTCAAATCACACTTTCTCATTATTTAGTATTATCGTCTTTTGCTTTCTTCTTTTATATTCCCTTCTTCAGACAAAAAATAACAACAATAATAATTATATATTTTGATAGGCTGCAAAAGTAAATGTATAACAATGTTTTGTTTTGGTTATCTTTGAGTACATCTTTCAGCAACATTTAGGCTGCTGAACTTTCTCAGTTTGCCTTTATGGAAACAAATGATCGCGAAAGCATACCCACAATCTTTAGCTGCAAATTTTCATCAGACAGGCTTAGTGTATAAGTCAGTTTGTTCTGATGCGTTTAAGGGTACTTGATAGAAATACTGTGTGTGTGAGAGTTTCTGTGAATCACTGAAGCTTGTCTATTTGGTCACAACCCACCTTTAACACTCTGTTTTTATCAGTCAAGGAAAGGGAGGAGCAACTATTTGCAGGGCTTTGCAACCCTTTGCAAAGAGAAAGAGAAATCCTCTCTCCTTTTGTCGTACCCTCTTATCTCCGATAAGGACAGTGTTTTAGTCTTCATCTCCAATGAAACTGTTCTTAGGTGTGGTTTGCGTCGAGCTCCTCACTGCTGCGGTTCATGGTGGAGTCGCTGGAGGGGATTGTTTTGCTGATGCAATCCAGAGTGTCCACGCTGGTGGAGTGTTTGGACTGAACTTTGCCGATTTCCTCTAGAGCGCTGGCCAAAGAGTCCAGATCACCCCGCTCCTGATGCTGAGCTTCCCATAAACTCAGAATGACAGCGGATGGGCTCGTCTGGCGTGCAAAATAACCCAGGTTCCTGTATGGGGAAAAAAGAGGGACAAACTTGGATTAACAGCACAGTCTGAACAGTACTAAATGAAACTGAATAAAAAACAACTAAACAAAGTCTCTCTGCAAAGAGAGAGCAGGAACAAATGTTAATACTCTTAAATTTAAAGTAACAAAGTTCATATATTACAAATTAGCATTTGATCAGTACACTTAAAAATATGATATTTATAAATATGATATTTATAATTATAAAAACATTAACATAGATAGATAAACGCTGTAAAAATAGCTGTTGAGTTACCAAAAAGTTTTAAATCTGTGAATAAGCACAGTGCTTATATTTTTGTATGTTTTTATTTACAATTCTTATTGAGCTAACCCACAAGTTTGGTTATATAAATTCATATTATTCCGCCGAGACACTGAATTATTATACTCTATTGCAAGGATTCTCGGTCTGCATAACTTTCAATTTAATAATGTTATCCTGAAATGTCTGTATGCCCCAACAACATATCAAAATGGTGAAATTAGTTTATAAAAGCGAGAAGGATATTAAAGAAGCTTTGCTGGAAGAAAATCAACCCATCTTTGAGACACAATTGAATCACAGAAGCGGAAATCACAGTTCTGCAGGTGTGTGTCTTAAAGCAGCAGACATAGCTCATCTTCTGCCCCGCACATATGAATGCAGCTGGGTTTCATCTATGGCAGGAGAACTTCCTGTTGGCCTTGTGCTGACCTCCCAATGTTATTTTAGAAAACAAAGAGTCACAGCAGCCAATGAGTTAAAAACAGCTTAAAAAAAATAAAAAAATAACCATCATTCATTTCCAAGCTGGTTAGTCTGCACGGATAAAACTGGTGACCGACCAGCATGATGTTGCTAGTTAAACAGCTTGTGAGATTACAAAACATGTCATGCTGGTCTTTTCAGCAGGATATTTTACCTCACCATCACCCAGTTCATCAACGATATACCGCAGCGCTGATGGGGCGATGTAAACAATGCAATTGTCCCCGGGCGCCGCAGCAAAAAAATGGCTGCCCACTGCTCCGGGTGTGTGTTCAGTGCTGTGTGTGTGCACTTTGGATGGGATAAATGCAGAGCACTAATTCCGAGTATGGGTCACCATACTTGGCCACATGTCACTTCACTTTCAATTCTTTGATTTTCTGTGGGTATTCAGACTCCAGCAGGTTTCAGTGTTGCGCTACACCAACTCCTGCGCCGCAGCTCTCTGAGTAATTGCCCTCTGCGCCGTTTAGAAGAGCTTGCACATCCTCAGAAGGTAATTGCATAAATCCGCTTAAAAAGGAGGAGACATTCTTATTACACACTGCCTGGGGCTCTGACCAGCTAGAAAATTCCCCTAAATCCTTCTGTCCGACTCTCCCAGCCTCATTTAAAAAAACAACTCTGTCGTTTATCCCTGGTGAAAATATTACAAAAGTAAAGCCACATCATGAAAGAAAGTGAAGCTGCAGTGAAGCGAATAAACATGCGACAGATTTTAAACTCAAGACCTCTTGGACATTTTGATCGGAGGGTCTGTTTTTGTTAAGTGTTTTTAAAATCATCATGGGAAATGGAAGAAAAATGAAAACAGGCAGCTAGTGAATTAAACTGTTGTTAAAAATTGCTAGCTGAGTAGAAGACCAAAGATGTTTTTGAGCGGGAATAAAGACAAAGAGCAGACAAAGTAGTTTAATAACAAAAAGATCTGAATGAATGTTCAAACACATTCATGTTACACATGAATGAAATCAAAATTGTTTGGTAAGGGTGAGTTCACTCAATAATGAAAAGTCAATTCACTTCCAAAAATCATTTACTTCCAAACTATTGTTATTTATTTTGTGGAACTCAAAATTCTAATAAGCTGATCTGATGCTCAAGAAATCAAGAAATTTCTTTAAAAGAGAAACGTAGCACATATATATCTATATAGATAGATATAGATATAAATGGCATGAGGGTGAGCAAATAATGACACAATTTGCATTTTAGGGTGAACTGTCACTTTAAGGGTGTTTATATCTTTATCAGTGTATTGTCATAGATGTGAGGTACGTTTTCCTGGAACTGACGGTTGCAGGAAGCATGAGTTCGATCTCATTATCGCCCCATAGCTACTGCCTATGGCTCTGCCGAAGGTTAATGTGACCATGTGCTGGAAGAATATGGAGCAAATTAGACGTGTTGGATTCCATATGTTGAGGCCCAGTTTTGTTTGTATTTGAGCATGTATGTCACCGTCTGTATGCTTGCTTATGGACAAAGCATGTGCATGTTTGTCTGCTGTGTGTTTTTGCATAATTTTCTCACCTGTCTATATGTAGTTTCTGCGCTAAGAGCTGCCAGTCTTTGCCCTTGGCATTCGCTGTGTCGAAGGTGGCGCAGATTCTCTGGCGAATGGACAGGGGGATTTTGAAGGCCCTGGATCCCGTTTGGGAGCTGATGGTACAGTCTGATTGTGTGAAGAATGGCACTGTATCTTTTTCACTCTGGAGGAAAGAAGTATTGCAGTGACATATTAGAGTTCACAGAGGGGTTAATTTGGGATAAAACAATTGGGAAATGCACATTTCGATTCAATAAAAAATGTTGGGAGTTTATCCGGTTTTTGTTTTCAAAATACAGTTTTCCAGGACCACTTTTGTCAAAGACACCAATAATATCAATTGATCAGCACACAGACTTCAGTGATATAAAATGTATTTCATTTTTGATTGATTAAAAATATGATAGTTGTATTATAATTAGGGCTGTCAAAATTAAAGTTAACTGTGAGTTTAATGTTTTTCGGTTTAACACTTTAAAAAATTTTTTACGCAGCATCCATTTTTTCATCCAAAAACAAATAGACCATCAATATTACAAACACAGATAAGATATCTTATTCTGTTGCACTGTGAAATATTTCAATATTTTGTGTGTATTTATTATGTAAGTTTTTATCTTCCATACCTCAGCAATGGTGGTGTAGACCTGTAGGATCTGCTCATGACCTTTGACCTGCCGAACACTGATCTTACAGGAGAGCTGATTGGCTGCTGGACTGTAGCGCTCCAGAGAAAAGGCACACTGCAGAGGAGACTGGCTACTGCACCACACCTGAGAGAAGGAGAATTCCTGCACCAAAAGAAGAAGGAGGAAAGAGTGAATATTTTTTAGCAGGAATCGATAGGAAGTATATGTGCCTCCTCTCCTCCTTTTTGTTATTCTGCTGTTGGAGCCGCTGAAGCTAATTTTCTTAGTGTCATGTCACTGACGGCCCTGCCAGAACACAGCCTAGTATGACAAAACAGGGCTTGCTATGGGTATGATTTGGATAAAAATGTGCCTGCGGTCATAAAGCTGTACAAAGAAAGGAATGGTGGGTAAACAGCACTGAGAAAAACACTCTTGAGAATGTGTCATCCAAAAACAGAAACAACTTGACAAAATAATACAAATACTAAAAAAGAAGCAAATAGAACAATAGATAAGAGAGTGCTGCTTGTCCATGCTAAACCTGACACTGTGATACTAACGTGTTCTGGATGGTTCCCAGAGCATTGATATGCGGTTGCTAGGATGACGTAATGGCCCAAGTCTAAATAAGCTCTATGTAGGGCATTAAATATGATCTGGGTCCCATTTTCACTGTAAGTCTAAGGGATTTTTTGATTGTTTGGCAAGCGAAAATTGTTTTGAAAAGCATCTGAGCATTGCTTTTATTCAACAAGATGCTTGATTTGAGTATCACGTGCCAAAGTTATAATACTTAGGGTTGGGGGATTTGAAAACCAAGGGTAATATATCACACATTTGTGCAATTTGTCCATTAAAATCATTCCTTAAAACATAAATTTGATTGACACTTTCCTGTAAAACCATACAGGTAGAAAAAACATCCTTATCTCCAGGAAAAAGACACCGGATTCCGACCACGGCCTCTGGCTAAACTACCTTAAACAGAGCCGTATTAATATTCATACGACCAGTCAAATGAACACCGGAATTTGGCATCTCATTAATATTCAGCCTCATCTGCATATTAACACATCTCATGCATATTCATACGAAGCCTTCATCCATATTCATGAGGACACCACCTGGCAGGTGGTGAAAGGTTTGATGCTCCACAGGAACTGGGGGATGTCCTGGATGGAGACCTGCAGGCTAAAAGAGTTCGCTCTGAAGAGCAGGGTTTTAGGTTCCTCCAGGAGGCGCCCTCCTCGACCCCGTTCCACGGATACCACCTCCTGCGAGGAAGAGTAAATACAGATATAAACGCTCATGCATAAACACATCCTGACACATACAATACCCTACACCAGGAACAGAACTCAACTGATTACTCATGTTTAAATTATTCAGCTGAAAAAAAACAGCCCTCCCACGCTACACAACAACTATTTCCTGGGTATGGCGGCACCTTTAATCTTCATAACCTGAGAAGATGAAGTGGAAAGTGATTAAAAACTTCCATGCGAGGCTGACGTTTCCAACCCCTAAACCAACAAACGAGTCGAAGAAATGCCTGCATTGCATTTTTTATCTACAAGAATGGAATTACAATAACACACTGGACTTAATATAAAAAAACAAACAAACAAACAAAACAAAATCTGGCAACACAACAACTAATAAATCTAAAGGTACAATGCCTTCAATTACCATCTCGGTCGAACATAAAAAAACGTCTACCTTTCCCATGTCCACAAATGCAACATGCACACAAAATGGCATACAGAACAGGAGCGAGAGACACTGGATGGATAGAATCGGCATTGATGAAAGGCACAGGTGATTTTGTGCTCTTTGCATCTGTTCTGTGGGATTTGTTGACAATGGCACAGTAGCACTAAAAGCATTAGGTCTCTCTCTCTCGCTTTCTCTCTCTCGGTCACCAAAGACAGGAAAATAGTCTCTCGCTGTGATGGCTGCTGATCGATCCTGGCCTGAATTCATTCGGTTTCCAGGGAGGAATTCATTTGCTGTTTTGTGAAATGCAAACAACGCTGACAACAAAGAGTACAAAAGAAGAAAAAACGGTGGGTGAACGGCTGGATAAACAAAGTGGAAGAGTGCTTTGGTGTGGAGAAATACAATCTTTGACCATTCACTCGTGAGTGTGTCCTTTTTGGGAAGAAGACTTCACAGAACTGAGATCTGTCACACACACACACACACACACACACACACACACACACACACAGTTTTTTCTGTGGTGGAGACTTTCCATTGACTTCTATTGTTTTTATATTGAGCTTATTGTATCGTGTATACTCTTCATCCTCAGGTTAGCATTTTTATTGAGACTTTATTCAGGCCATTCTACAAGATACATTGGCATCCCCTACATACATAACTGTAAAATAAATAAAAAAATAAAAAACATGTATTCAGAAAGGAGGCATTAATTGATCAAAAGTGACAGTAAAGACTTTTACACTTACAAAAGATTTCTATTTCAAATAAATTCTGTTCTTTTGAACTTTCTATTGTTCAAAACTAATAAATAAATCTATCAAAAATATTTAAAACATTATGGAGAAAAACTGTTATTTTAAATCAGAATAATATTTCAGAATACTAAAATTTTTAACATATTTTTGAATAAATAAATGCAGCCTTGGTGAGCTTGGTGACTTTTTAAAAATCATTAAAACTTACCGACTCCAAACCTCTGAATGGTTGGGTATGTGTAACAAAACATTGGGTTGTTGTTAAATTGTCTACACATTTTCTAGACAATTTAACAACAACCCAGTAATTTTTTTTTTTTTTATTCATCACAAAATTTTGGCCTGTCCTCAGGTTTTCTGTCCATTGCTTCCTTGCAATATTATTAAATATGCACATTTTAATGAAAGCAAAATATGCAGCACAGAGGTAAAAGCTAGCATATTTTCTTTATTTTATATCTATATTTTTTTATATTTTATTTGGCAGGATTATTAGAAAATATTTTTGTGTTCCCAGGTTGTCAACCCTGTTACCACGATGAATTACTGCATAAGAGCAAAACAAAAAACCCTAATAATAACAACAACATCATCATGCTTTCAGGTAGTTAACTATTCAAGTTAGAGTTTCCTTTTTATCACTTTATTTTATGTTTTGTAACATTTAACATCTTAAAATGTCAACCCTGTTACAATGATTTTCTATGGTACACAACTGTTAACTGAAAACTCTACATTTGTAGAAGGAAGCACCTTGTAGTTTTACTGCCTCTAACACAGGGCTTGTGACGTCTAAACTGTAAAACTTTAAATCCTGGTACCTTTCTGAAGGCATAATAATATCCTACATATATTAAAGTTTATTAATTTAGCTTGAGTTCAAACACACTCCAGACATCAGTACTTTGTGTGTATGTGTGTGTTTGGAGAGAAAAGTAGAGCCACTAATCTAGTTTGTGTATGTCTTGAGGCTTCAATGCAACACAAAGTCATCTCCACATCTCCGTAACCGAGAAGAAAAGATCCATGTGAAACATTAAATATAGATGACATATTATGCTTTCTTAAAGGGGTCATATGATGCGATTTCAATTTTTCCTTTCTCTTTGAAGTGTTACAAGCTCTTGGTGCATAAAGAAGATCTGTAAAGTTGCAAAGACTAAAGTCTCAAATCCAAAGAGATATTCTTTATAAAAGTTAAGAGTCAGCCACACCTACCTAAAACGGCTCGTTCTAACACACAATCGACGCGTTTCAGAAAGGCGGGGCACAGAGGAGAAACAATAATGTACAGTATGTGGAAAATAATGTGTTTTTTGAACCTTAAACCGCATAAACACATTTCATTACACCAAATACACAAAAGAATGTTCTTTTTAGCAGCATCATATGACCTCTTTAATAACGTGAAGAGATTGTACGATCCGTGTGTGTGGAGAACAAAGACTTCTCTAAAGCTATGTCCATTCAACTGGACATTACAGAATGTAAATCACTTTTAATTAGTGCGCAGAAAATATTCAGTCACGTAATGACCACGTGAAGCAAGAGTGGCTCACCGTGTCTTTGTAATTTAAGAAGCTATTCTATCAGTTAGCTGGAGATGTGTGTGTGTATGAGAGAGAGAAAGATTGGTCCAGCTGACTTTCAGTGGAGCGTAAAACCAGAGTACCCACAGGGCATGACGGCTAGCCATAACATGCTGCCCCATGAATGCAAATGTCCCATAAGCCGTGGATTTCCATCTAATGCCTTATGCAGTGTGAAGGGGATATGCATCATGACATTTAAGATGCCTACAAAGCCTGTGAAAGCCGAAAACGCAACCTGTGGAAAGACCAGTTAGGACCAGCATGAATTGGTTTGAATGAACCAGTTGCTTCTTCACTAGTGCATCAGCATCCGAAACACATGTGGTGAGCAATAACAGACACTAACAAAGTCTTTACACACCTGAAAGGCATGGGGTGTATCATTGACGCAGTACACTCGAATGCTATAGTTGAGGAAGTTGGGCTCCATGTTTCCAAACGCAGCCAGTCGGAGTCTCTTCCCTGCCTCCTGTGTGAGGGCCTCTCCCACTAAAGCATAACACCCTGGCCTCTCCACCAGTAGGTGGCAGCACTGAGTGTCCAACAGGCAGTAACAAGCGGTGCTCTCCTCTTCCACAGTCATGACCTCCTGTCAGAAACAAACAAACACAGTCAAAGACCAACTGTGTCATATGTTAAAGATTTACATAATATTGATTGCGATTACATTAGTGTTTACTACTAGGGACAAATGCGGTGATTAATGATCTCTTTCAGATGGCACCAGACCTTAGACAAGGTAGTGCCATTTTTTATTTTTTGACAGGAATAAAAATTAGGCTGTTAGGGAAATAAGTTCAGTGGGTTCAATGGATTGTACTGTTGTTTAAAAAAATACAGATTGTTCAGTTGACGAAAGTCTTTCAGGGAAAAAAAAAACTTTCAGTAGACAAATCACCATAAACAGTTTTGAAAGTTGATCTGGGTCGTTTAGGTGCATTGAGGACAACTATGGTGACCGATGTCATTCACTTTCAGATGGCAAAAGAATGCAATCTACATAATTCTATCAAAAGCTGTATACATTTTAAAACATTTTTAACTATTTAACTGTTTAAATTTGGACTGTCTCTGCATGACAGTGAGTTTAGTGCGCGTGAGTAGAATTTTTTTTCCAGTTTTAAAAAAGTAATAAACATAGCAAAAATCATGAAATTTACTACCTTTGACATAAAAAAAATACAATTTTAAATCAAGGGTCTTCAACCGGGGGTCCACAACCCCTAGGGAGTCCGCAGAGCCAATTAATGTTTGATCACAAATAATTTGTTGTTAAAAAAAATTAAAATGTGTAAAATGCATCACAAAGTCTATTTTAAATATAAGCACCCTGAAACGAAAGCAAGAGCACCCTCAGTTGATTCTGTAATGATATAATATTATTGGCGAAACAGATTTAGCAAACGCTTCATTGCGTTTTTGAGTTTGAGCTCTGGAGAACGTGAAATGTTCCTGTTTACCGCATGTTTTTACAGCAGTGAGAAATGTAGCCAATCACAGACAGGTTTGTTGATCTCTTGAACGCAATGGCCAATCAGAGGTGCTTAAGAGGTGACTGCGAGTTTTTGTTCAGTGCAAAGTTATGCTTGCTCTCACAAATCCACTCTTATTAACAAACAATGACAAGATGTAAGTAAGAGATTCATTATGCAGTGTAGACAGCCTTATTGATTTTAATGGAGCATAGTGAGATCGCGAACTGAGATGAGTGACAGCTTTTTAGTAATTGTAAAGTGAGCAGTCTTTCGCACTTTCTAGGCTATATAGCTATAATCCGTTGAATAAGGGTATTGCTTTTCATGCTGCTAAGAGAACTGACGGTTACATGCTGGAAAGTGTTGGAAGTGGCTTCTACATATAAATTATCAGAGTGATTCACTCTGAAGCTGCAGTGATACTAGCATGGGACAAAAATATGGCATGTCAAAATAGATACAATGTAAATGCAGATTACTAGAAAAAATATTCGTATCAATATATATTTTTAAATTCCATTCCAATTATTGGTAAAAGTAATGCCTTGTAAATAATCTTAAATGTCTCACTGTACATGGTGGACCCGCTGCTTACACATTTCATCTGCACTTTATTAGATTAGAAAACCCTAATTTCAGATACCCAGTGAATCGATTCTTAATTGTCCATCTCACAGTAAAATTAAAATGTTTTAGTAAACTTGAAGCTAAAGTTCAAGTAAATATTTGTCTCTCTGACAGTAAAATTAAAATATTCATTTTTAATAAGCTTGTAGCTAAAGTTCTGGTAAATGTCTATCTGACTATTAAAATAAAAATGTATGACTCTGCAAATCCATTAAAATATTTTACAACAACTCCAAACAACTAATGAATTGTGATTTTTATCTCAACATGTTGTTATGATGCATACATCTAAATTTTAACAATAAAAAGTAATATACAGGCAGTGATGCATGTGCAACAACAATAATGTGCATAGTTCAGATCTATCTTAACAAAATCTAATATAATATATACATATAAACATAATATAATTTATTTTTAATCATAATATGGTTAGTTTCTATTAATAACGAATGCTATATGCTTAAAATACAGCTCTGCTTGTATTGGGGGTCCCTGATCCATGTCTCTATCGCTCTATCGCATATATATACAGTGGGTACGGAAAGTATTCAGACCCCCTTAAATTTTTCACTCTTTGTTATATTGCAGCCATTTGCTAAAATCATTTAAGTTAATTTTTTTTCCTCATTAATGTACACACAGCACCCCATATTGACAGAAAAACACAGAATTGTTGACATCTTTGCAGATTTATTAAAAAAGAAAAACTGAAAAATGCTCAGTATTTAGTAGAAGCACCCATTTGATCTGGTCTGAATACTTTCCGTACCCACTGTATATAAAAACTAAACTAAAATTAAACCTCCTTTGGCTTTTTTGTGAAGTTTTGTGTGTGTGTGTGTGTGTGAAAACCATCTAACCGTTATGTCATTTATTTGTTAATTTAATGTTTTTGAACATTTGATTACGATCAGTACTAGAATTACTGTTTTTGAATTGCTTTCCCTCATCTTGAAAACAACCATAACTGTCAAATTCATGAGTGGCGTTACAGCTTCCCATTACCTTCACTTAACTGCAACATCAGTGACAAAAAAGCATTCCAACCAAGAGTAAAAGAAACATATTTTTAACATTCAACTAAAACATTCACAATTTACCATAAATTATATACGATATGCTGTAATGTTTATAGTACAAGCATTATTAAGAGATAACTTAGCTCCACATCCAAGAGCGGCTTCCATGCTGATCGACTGTTTTTCTTTTCTAGAACACGGTTCAATTGCTTATAATGCAAAGTAACTAGGCCTCGTTGTCATAAGCACTGACAGCTACTTACTTTTGGCAACCCTGAGGCTTTTCACAGACCACTTCACTTTATAAAATCCACAGTCAGCATAAAAGAATATACACACGTTAGAAAAAGGTGAAGATCTTTAGCTAAAATTATGCTTCTCTTTTTTTTATAGCTCTGCAGATGGAAGCACAGCTTGATTATTATTATATGCATCTGGTATTTGAATGTCAGGAACAGTGGGTGTGTAGCGGCCAGCAGGAACTCGGAGTCCAGGGTCTCCATGTTAATGTCTGAATATAGCTGAAGCTAAGCATAACTTTGCCCCCCGGAGCGACCCGAACCATTTGCGAAGGCGGAAAGCTTGATATTTCACGTCTAAACACGCCATTGCACAGAAAGCATTGTCTATTACCCACAAATCAGTGGGTGCACATTAAAGTGTGCGTTCCGTCTCTCTCTCACACATAGTAAAAATGCACATAAAAGGTGTTATTCTCAATTCTGTGGGGACATTACTCTCAGCCTGCCTCTCACTTGCTCTGGCATTATGCTGGCAAGAAAAAAGCTCATTATTTCAGAGGTCTCAGAGTCTTTAACATGGCATCAAAATGACTCACTTGCATGGAAAGAGAAGGAGTTGATTGGTATTGTGACGTGTCTTTGAATTAGAGTGTCTGCGTTTGATTATAGTCTGCTGAAATGTCAGGTCGCATACTCAGGCGCTCGCAGCTACCCAAACACAAACAGAGATGGTTTCCCCAGGGTCAGTTTGCGTCAGTGAGCTCCAACTCAACTTTGATGAAGTTCTTTCAACATGTAAGAGCAGTACGAATCCCACTTTTATAAAGAACAGCAAAATATCAAAGAGAAAGGACGGTGTTAATAAGAGAAGCACAGACAGTTGCTCCTTTAAAGTGCACTCAATGTGACTCGGTGATGTAGGAACATTGGCCTACTTGTCTATTGATTCTGTCAGATATTAACCTTCACCATTTTTACTTCAGAATGACACTTTATAATTACCAGCACACTGTGGTTTCCCATTAAACTACATGATTCAGACTTTACACTCCTTCATGGCAAGGAATTTCTTCCCTATGTATTCTAGTTAAAGACTAACTTCAATAGTTAAGATACTATTCTTATGTCAGATTTCTCTTACCTCCCAGCTGTTGTCCTGGGTTTGTCTCTTAAGCTTGATATTCCAGTCTTCTGAACTCACATCCGCACAGTGGGCTATTGTCAAGGCAACAGGGCAGGAAAGGGTCAGGCCAGGAGGGCCGTACGTTACTTCTGGACTCAAAAGTATCTCCTGACCTTCATCAGACAAAGCACTGAAGATAAAGAGACAGAAAGAGAGATTAGATTATATTATTTCAAAACAACAACAACAAAAAGATTATTAGTATTGCGGCGCTGCTAATACTGTTAGTTCCTGATGATTAACCGCTGTGTTTTTTCTCATTTGTAAGTGGCTTTGGATAAAAGCATCTGCTAAATTAATAAATGTAAAAAGTAATGCTTCTGATTCTACTTAATTGGCATTAGACATCAGGTGAAAAAACACACACACACACACACACACACACACACACACACACACACACACATACACACACACACACACACACACACACACACAGACAGAGGGGGAAAAAAACCTAAAAGGTGGGAAATTACACTTCTCTAATCTCCACCTCCCTTGTTTACTGTTGCGAACTCTGACAAGCTTCACAAAACATCCCATAGGAAAAAACTGGAGCGTTCAGTGTGCTTTTCAATGAAACAACTGTTTGGATACTATCCTTACATGGGCTGGAATCAATTGTGACATTTATTTAAAGATGTGGAAAAGGAAAAAAAAAACAGATTGTATCCTCTCTGAGTACCTTTTAAGTGACCTAGCAAGAACATTATACCATATTTCTTTCAGGACTACTATCGTCAAAATGATAGACACTTAGCATATGGGCAAAAACTCCCTGTCCAATCATGCAGCCTGTCATGAATGAGCAGGGAGAGCAGCAATAATAACCCCCCTATAGGGTTAACAGAACAGAACAAAGCAGATATCATTAATGTACTTAATGATATTTAAGTGTAACATTATTCAAGATAAAGGAGGCTGATTCAACAAGGAATATCAGAAAGCCAGGTCCTGACTGTGGCAAAAGGAGGAGCTGGGGATGGAGGAGGGTAATTTGCTCCTGAGCAAGCTGAAAAGCTGCTGAATAATACAGAATAGAGCTTATATAGGAATGCTGTGATAGGTGTTGCATTCCTATAGGTAGATGTGATCAGCTGAGAGTCAGCTGATGCAAGCTTGACTCGCGTGACCTGCCAGAACTAACGCTATCGCTTAATT